GGACCTCCTCCTTCTCTCCGACTCCCCCGTCCTACATCACGACATACTGCAATTGAAACTGACGGTATGGCAGATAACATCACCGGCTTCTCCTCCCGCGTAGTGAACGTCCTCTTGCATTCCAGGAGGCCTACTACACGGAGGTCTTACAATTATAAATGGCTAAGGTTCTGTTCTTCCCTTGATGATGACGCCCCTCGAGCCACTTCAGTGGGTCTTGAAAGAGTTTTCCGATTCCTCCTGTCCTTGGCTGACTCGGGACTTTCCCATTCATCATTAAGAGTTTATTTGGCCGCTCTTTCGGCTACCATGTTCCAGTTGTCGGATGCACTTTGTTTTCACATCTGATTTCCAAACAATTTTTAAAAGGTTTGTTACACCTCTATCCTCCTGTTAAAATTCCAGTTGCTCCCTGAGACCTTCCTCTAGTTCTCTAGTTCTACGCCAGCGCACGAGGAAGCCCTTTGAGCCCCTTGCTACATGTGACCTCAAACTCCTCGCATGGAAAACGGCCTTTTTAATTGCTATCACATTGGCAAGGTGAGTTGGAGAAATATTGGCTTTCCGGCACGATACACCTTACCTGTTGTTTCTGCCAGACGGAGTCCGCCTCGTCCCAGACATCGCCTTCCTGCCGAAGGTGGTGTCAGAGTTCCACCTGCAGGCGGAGGTCTTCCTCCCTGACTTCTTCCCAAATCCAACATCAGCGGAGGACAGATTATTACACACCTTGGACGTGAAGCGGGCTCTCCTGTTCTATCTCAATAAAACACACCCAACTAGGCGGGACTCACAACTTTTCGTCTTGTATGCTTCGGCACGTCTGGGCACTCGCATCACAGCCCAGCGCCTGTCAAAGTGGATTGTGGGTCTCATCCGTCTGAATTACCAAACAGCCATTGCCTGGCCCTATGAGGGCTCATTCTACCAGGGCTGTCGCGACTTCCACTGCCTTCCTCCAGGGAGTGCCGCTGACGGACATTTGCAAAGCCGCTACGTGGGCCACGCCTAATACCTTCATTAGGCACTACGCCCTAGACGTCCGTAACAACACCAATACCAGCATGGGACATCACATTCTGTCTTTGGCTACGCAGTAAAAGATCTGCCAGGTAGGCTACTGCTCACTAATCTCCCATGGGTGTGAAGCACAGAGACCACGTCAAAGATAAGCAGGTTGCTTACCAGTAACTGGTGATCTTCGAGTGGCCATCTGTGCATTCACAGCACCCGCCCTCCTTCCCCGCTGCTGTCAGCTTCTACATTTTTAATAGGGGTTGATTTGCGGCGGTTTGTAGGAACTGGCGGGATGTCCGCGCCCACCCCTCTGGGCATGCGCGGTGGGGTTCCTGTGCATGCCCGAGGGACTGGGCGCGAAAATCCGTTAAAAGAGCTTTCTATAGCACCGATCGATCCAGCGCGTGCGCACAAGATCCCATGGGTGTGAATGCACAGATGACCACTCAAAGATCACCAGTTACTCGTAAGCAACCTGCTTTTCTGGCACTCCAGTATAACAGCTTTTGCTCCATCGTACTCTGCTTGCATTCTGGGTTATGTGAGGTAAGCCATTTCAGAGCAATTTAATGTGGTTACTGGTAGATTTAGGTATAACTTCCTTAGAAACTCAGAGCAACTTCCAAGGGCTTTTCAGGGCCAAACTAAATATCTGCCACTCACTAGCTCTGAGTTCATTTGGGAATCAATTCTGAAGTGCCTCAGGGGCCCGTTTTGGATTGGGACAGTTGTGCAGACTTTCATGATATTTTCTAGCCCTAGAATGGCCGGATGGAGGCAGTGCACATGCACTAAATGCTTGCACATGCAGTTCCCTTCATAAGGCAAGTAATGTCCCTGGGGCCATTTTGAGTTGGGAAAATGGTTTGTGTCCCTTCAGTGCCTCTGAATTGAGTTCCCATGGGGAACTTGCAGCTATCATGTGGTAGATATAACATGTAATCTGGACCTCAGTGATCTCCTGTCCACTGATTGGCGTCACGTGATCCTAGACCATTCACTGTGCCGTTTTGTTCCTTGCCTAGAAATGACATATAAGCAAGGTGTGCTGGATGAGGTTTCATCTGGTCTGCATTATTTTTATTTCTGATCTATCCGGAGAGGAAACTACCAGCAGGCTTATATGCTTCTAAGATTTCTAAAGGAAGACTGTTATATTAATATTAATAATTGTGGCTTTTAGAAGGGGCAGGCTGGGGAATTCTGTTTGTCTTTTCATGAATGTTTTCATGACATATCCATAAACAACAGCATATAAAATTCTTACATTACAACCATACTTTGGAAGGATAGTCTCTTTATTAAACACTGAACCATTGCATTGTGTTTATATGCTGAGTTCAGTACCTTCTGTCTTACATTGCAGGAGGTTGAAACTGAACAGTACTACAGTTTTTTCCTGGCAGAACTGAAGGAGCGTGGTTATAATGGTTTCTTCAGTCCAAAATCTAGAGCTAGGACAATGTCAGAACAAGAAAGAAAACATGTTGATGGCTGTGCAATATTTTTCAAGACTGAAAAGTAAGCTAAAACTTGCTTCTTGTTTTCTAGCTACAATGAATGAAACTGTATAATATCTGTTTTATTTTATTTTTCCCTCTGTAAATTGCCCCTAGCGTTCACATAATTTTGTCTTCAGCTACTGACTTGAAAAAAAGACCAAGTTATCTAGCTGTTCAGGACTAAAGCAGCAAAATTATCCACTCACAAAACTGCCTTTTATAAGAAAAGAAGAATGCTTTGGAAATAAGAGGGAGCTGGTGTCCTTTGTTAATTATATCCATTATTGTTGGGAGTGTTTAGAGTATTTTAAAACGTTTAGTATGGAATGACTAGAGAGATTTGTATTCTGATACAAGTAGAAACTTTAGTATGTTGCACCTTTTTGATATAACAACTAAAATGTAATAAAAATAAATTCTTTTAAAAGTCCTTTCAGGCTGCTAAGAGGCAATTCAGATTCTCTGATCTGAATTGGCTTGCCACTGAATTGCCGCCGAATTTCAGCGGCAATTTGGCCCCATTATATCCTATGGGCCATTGAAGTCAATGGTGAAAACATAGGGTATATTCTGGGGGCTGGAGGGGAGGGGGCTTGAGGGAGAGGCTCCAAACTCGCAGGGTAGCTGCTGGAGCCTCTCCCCAAGATACCCACCACGTTTTAAGAACATTGGACCAGGGGGTCCAATTCTACGGGCCCCCAAACAGGTTGTCCCCATCCCCTCCATTGTTCTCTGCGGTGGGAAAAAAGTAACTCCCCTGGTCTAATGTTCTTGAAACTTGGTGGGTATCTTGGGGAGAGGCTCCAGCAGCTACCCTGCGAGTTTGGAGCCTCTCCCTCAAGCCCCCTCCCCTCCAGCCCCCAGAATATACCCTATGTTTTCGCCATTGTGTTCAGTGGCCCATAGGATATAATGGGGCTGAAATTGACATTCGGCTGGCTGAAAGACTGGAATGGCTGGTACTGCCGAAATTCCCATGCATGAGTCTTTCTGCCTGCCAAAATTGATTCTACCCGACTGGGCCGAATCCAAATCGGACTGAATTTTTTTTTTTGCACACCCCTAATTCTAATTACAAAATACGATGCAGCATGCATCGAATAAGGGTGGTGTAGTGCCTAAGCATGTGAGCGAGGACATCTTGTACTTCAATCTCACCTTCACTATGAACACTCTACGTGGCCTTCGGCAAGCATCTGTCTGTAATTTATCCACCCACTCATATACAAACACCTGTCGTGCAGTATGTAGGTTATACTGACATACTTTTTAGAGGGGTTTTAAGCATTACCAAGTTAGTGTTTATCAGGAGATTTGAACACTTTGGAGTGTTACACAAATGCAAAGGGATTGTAGTAGTCCAGCTCTTACAAATCTTGAGTGTGTCTGTGTTAAAGCATTGAGTAATGCATGTTTTGTTCAATAGAATAGTTACTCAGAGACTGGTGCAGTTGCAAAGTAGTCATGTCATTTATTTCTGTTCAAGAAATGCGTGCATGTCAGCTCTTTTCTGTTGCATGTATTTCATGCTTTTGATGGCCATGAAACCAAACATTTTGCAGATGTTGAGCAATTTCTAAAAACTGGAGCAATTTCTGCAATTAACAAATATAGCAGACTGAGAGTGACTACAGAAAACTACTTATGAAGTGGTAAGTTATCATGCAGAGGTGATTAACTGGTTGTCTGTATACCCTACAGAAGGGAGGAGATTTTGCACACTTTTGACTTACCTGGTCAAAAAAATTGCCTTAACTTGTATAGTTCCATGTACTTTGTGGTCTTTATCACTTAGACGTGATCACTGTGAGAAAAATGTAGGTGATTATGTTCTGTATTTCTAAACTGCCAGTTGTACATTCACCATGGTATATACTACAGCTGTCCTATTTTAATGAAACCAGTTATTGCAAACAGTTCTGATGTTAACTATGGTTTTAAGGTTCACCTTGGTTCAGAAGCATACTGTTGAATTCAATCAGTTGGCTATGGCAAACTCAGAGGGGTCTGAAGCAATGCTGAACAGAGTGATGACAAAAGACAACATTGGAGTTGCTGTGTTGCTGGAGCTACGTAAGGAGTTAATAGAAATGTCATGTAAGTAATCATCCAGTTTTTAAGTAGGATCTGTTGCAATCTAATCCATGTTCAGATGTATCTTTGACTTCTCAGGAAAATAATTTGAGTGGCTCCTTACAGGAAAACTGAAAGAAAGCTGAGAGAAACGCTGAGTATAAGGGCTACAGAGAATCATAGAGTTGGAAAGGACCTTACAGACCGTCTAGTCCAACCTCTGCTCAGTTCAAGTAGTCTGTATCATCCCCAATACATAGCTATCCAGCCTCTGCTTGAAGATCTACAGCATAGGAGAGTCCATCACCCCCCTGGGTAATTGGCTTCCATGTCAAACTGCTATCGCCTGTTTCTCCCGATATTCATCTGGAAATCTGTACCCTGTAATTTAAACCTGTTAGAATTAGTCTTCCAGATCAGTGTAGAGCAAGTCTATGGTCTCTTCCACTTTGGACATTTAACAAATGTTATCATGTCCCTCCACCTCTTGCTTTCTTTTGAAGGCTAAATAACCATTTTTTCGAGGTATGACCTTTAGTCATTTCATTTATGTTCTGTCATTCTCACAAGGACCATCTTTGTTGCCCTTCTCTGAATCTATTCCAGTTTGCCTACATCTGAAATACAGTGTTCAGATCTGGACACTGTACTCCAGATGGTATCTGACTTTGGACAAATAAAAGAATGGTTACTTCTGATGACCTTGATAATGTTTCTAGTAATGCAAGCTAAAATTACAGTAGCTATTTTTTGCAGCTGTTAGATGATGTTCAGCTTGTGATTGACAACAATCCCAAGGTTCTTTTCATATTTACTACTGTCAAGCCAGGTATCCCCTATCCCAATCCCTGTTCATTTGATTATTTTTGCCTAAATGCAGATATTTGTGTTTGTCTCTGCTGAATTTCATTTTACTAATTTCTGCCCGGCTTTCCAACCTATCAAGGTCATTTTGAATTTTATGTTAACTTCTAGAGTGTTAGCTGTCTCTCCTGGTTTTGTGTCATCTGAAAATCTGATAAGGATTCTCTCCACTTTATCCAAGTCATTGATAGAAATACTAAAGGGCCTCGTTTGATGCAGGAAATCCAAAAAACTAGGCCCTAGTACATTCCAAATAGATGGACTTTTCAAATGCTTTCAAGATATGTTACACCAACAGCTTTCCCATAGTCCACTAAGCTAGCAACCCAATAGAAAGAGGCAAGATTAGTCTGGATGGATTTACTCTTGACAAATCCATGCTGGCTTCTACTAATCACTGCATTGTTTTCAAGAAGCTTGCAGATTAGTTGCTTTATCTGTGTTTCAAAGATTATGGAAATTCAGAGAACAATCCAGATATTATAATTAAAGAGGCAGACAAAGGTGGAGCTGTTGTCATCATGAAGAGACCAGACTACATCCAAGAGGCTCAAAGACAACTCTCAAATACTACTTTTTACAAACAACTGGACTCAGACCCCACACAGGAATCCAAAAAAGAACTAAACAAGATTATACATGAATTACCCCTGCACATTCAGGAACAAATCCTTTCAGATACACCACAGGATCCTCGACCTGACACCTTTTATCTTCTACCTAAAATATACAAACCCGGCAACCCAGGACACCCCATTGTCTCAGGCATAGGCACTATCACTGTGGGGGTATCTGGATATGTGGATTCTGTTCTAGGACCCTATGCCGTCAACGCTCCTAGTTATGTTCCCAACACCGCAGACTTTCTGAGGAAAATACAACCTTTGAACAGCCTTCCAGAGAATATCATTTTAGCCACTATGGATGTGGAATCTCTGTATATCAGTATCCCACACAAAGATGGATTACAAGCCATAAGCAATATGATTTCTGACAACACCATAGCTGACTTTGCACCAAACTGTGCCATTTTGTTCTCACCCATAACCACTTCAGATTTGGCGACAACTTGTTCCTTCACATTAAAGGTGCAGTCATAGGCACCCACATGGCCCCACAATGTGCTAACATCTTTATGGCTGACTTGGAGCAACACTTCCTAAACTTCCACCCACTCATACCTCTCATACCTGTGATACATTGATGACATTTTTATTGCCTGTTGGTCTGAAAGGTGCCACTGGACTAAAACTTTGTTCTGCTGCTATAGACCAACATGGCTACCCACCTGAATTGATCCCATTATTATGGTTTAGCTCCTTTATTCAGGAACTCCCACCCATCTTAGAATTCTTTCTCAGATACAGATGTGTTAGATATGATTCCATGGTTTGATAATCTTAAATTAGTAAAATCTGCTCACCTGAATTTCAAGCTGACTGTTCTCATTTTTAACTTTCCCTAGGATCAAGAATTCCTGTAGTAATATGGTCACTTTCACCTCATCAATTAAGCCTTTCCTGTTGATTAGAATCAAGTTAGGGTTTGCTGGTCATGAGTAATAAGCTTCCTATTATTACTAATCTTGCTTCCTTGAAGCAGTTGTAATTCGTTTCATCCATACCTTCTCCTTGGTTTGGTCTCCATATATTTTTAACCAGGTACTCTCAGCAGGGCAACCATATTCACCCTCTTGATTTCCTTTGCAAGTGTACATAGTTTTTACATAGTGCTCATTTTCCCCTTTCTGTTTCCTCTATTTTTGAACTGGTTATAACCTTCAGTGCTTAGATTCCAATCATCCTACAAAGTTTCTGTTATGCCTATTCTTATATTTACTTTGTTATAGGAGTTCAAACTCATCTTGGTAGAGTACAGACATTGAAGAGTTTGAATGTTATGCAGACAGTTACCAAAGTTCCTCTTGATCAGTAGGCCAGGCAGGTCTCTTGGTAGCATTCTGACATGTGGTGGTTATAAACCTTTCAATAGTATATGGAAAAGGAAATGTATGGTAGAAATGTATTGTATTTGCAGTCCATTTCAGTTTTTACTAAACATGGCTTCTTTATACAGCATGAAGTGAGAAAAACTAATTTCTCTCAGTCTTATTTAAAACTGTCTAGTGCTCCAGAGCACTCCACTTGAAGAATTGGACCTTTACAACTCCTAGGCAAAAATAACACTAGCCTTGCATGAGCCTGTTTTCTTCTGGTGATCTGAACATCCTCACCGAATGGACAAGAGAAATTTGTGATTGCCATGTAAAAGATACTTTAAGATTACATAGACAGTAGTTGCTGAAACATAAGCAAAGTACCCTTCTGCCCACTATCCTAAACAATTATTTTGTGTGTCTTCTTGGTAGGCTTCAGATGCAAAAAGAATGTAATGGCAAAATAATGTTATGCATTTCACTTGAATTTGACAACACTCTACCACCTTGATTTTTTTTATAACCAAATTTGGTTTTGATAACCAAAACAATAATTGAGAACGAAGTCCATGGGATTTTAAACAAATGTTTAAAAGGCTCAAAGACACATGTGTTGGGAATGCATGAAGCTAAAAAAGAATTTAATCTATCTTCATGCTTTCTCCTTTCTCCTGATTTCCACATGTTTGCATTTGCATGTTGTCCATGATTTTCCACTCTTCCTTTTCTGTTTTGCTGTTCTAAGACTGTACCAGTCTGTAGTCAAGACAGACTGTTAGTCATCTGTACTATTTTAATCTCCAGTAATGGTTTCAACTGCTGAATGAAATTTTTATTTCTACAAGTTTATAAAGTTTGCAGGATTTTTACTTACATTTAATAATTCTATGAGGAGGGGCAGTGTCTAAGAAATAATGCAGGTAATGTAAAATTCTGCGTGTCAAAATATTGTACACAACAAAATTACCTATAGTAAACTTGGCTCTAGTTGATTTCTGTTAATCATGTTAGTAGTATAATACATCCAGCAGAGGGAGCCCAGAGCCCATTTTCATTTTTCAGGCTGACTTAAAAAAAAAATCTTGGATTGTTGATGCTCAAATTGTTGATGACTGCCTTTGTGATGTCTTTTAAATTACTTTTATAAACTTTTTTTTGTTAAAGAGCTCATGCAGAAGAGTTTCATTTCTGCCACCTCAGGTTTAACAATTTTTATTTTGCATTTTAGCTGGCAAACCACACCCTGGAATGGACAAACAGCTGGTCCTTGTAGCAAATGCACACATGCATTGGGACCCAGAGTATTCTGATGTGAAGCTGGTTCAGACCATGATGTTCCTTTCTGAGGTCAAGAACATCATTGACAAAGCCTCTCGTAATCTCAAGAGTGGTGTTTCAGGAGAACATACAACTATTCCACTTGTACTGTGTGCTGATCTGAATTCTCTGCCAGACTCTGGTAAGTGCTGCCATATTCCATTTGTGACTGTAGTGAAAGCTGTTGTGACTTAACGAATTTTTGATATCCTATATATTAATTGCCCTACGTATTGGCACTTTCCGGCTCTCCCATTGGCTGTGCTGTGTGCTCCATCAGCCATTGGCCAGTCAACCGCAACTTGAGTACGCGCCTGCCATTGGCTGGATGCTGGGTCCAGTCCTCTCCCCCACCCACTACCAGCCTGGACACTCTTCCCTGTCAGAATAAACTGCCAAAATGGCTGTCTCTCCTGACAAAGACACTTCTACATCTGCTTGGGTCCTATGCTGCAGGCTGGCTACTGAGGTGGGCCACCGGCTGTCAAACCATTCTCTTCTCCTTCTGCTGTGGGGCTAACTTTTCTCTCAGTGGCTGCTGCTAGGCAACCAAGCTTGGTTCTGTCACTAAAAAGGCAAAGGCGGGGTGCCCTTTCCAGGCCTCTTTTGACCTTTGTGGGGAACTCATTGGGGCCAGTCCTGACTAGGGTTGCCAGCTCCGGGTTGCGAAATTACTGGGTATTTTATGGTGGAGTCTACGGAAGCCAGAGTTTGGGGAGAGGAGAGGCCTCAGCTAAATAGAATACCATAGAGTCCATCCTCCAAAGCATTTATTTTCTTCAGGGGGAGAGAGATCTGTTGTCTGGAGTTCAGTTGTGATACCCAGTGATCTTCAGACTCCACCTAAAAATTTGCTACCCTAGGAGTAGCAGTTAGTGCTTCAGAGCAGGGTCTGCCAGACCCAGGTTCTTGCTGTGGAAGCTGAGTGGGTGATTTCAGACCACTCTCAGGCTTTCAGCCTAACCTACCTCACGGGGTTGTTGTGCAGATCAAAAGGGGGAGAGGAGAATGATGTGAGCTGCTTTGGTCTCCACTGTGGAAAAAGAATGTACTTTTCCTCCTGGGGAATCATTGTTGCCAATCTCCAGGTGAAAGCCAGAGATCACTCAGAATTAAAACTGCTCTCCAGAGGGCAGAGATCAGCTCCCCTGGAAAAAACAGCTGCTTTGCAGGGTGGACTCTGTGTCATTATACCCTGCAGAGCTCGCTTCCCCTCCTGCTTGGGTCCTCAAGACTGTACTTTTCCTAGGTAGAGGCTCCAGATTGGGGGGGGGAGATGTAAAGCTGAAGCTGGGGGGGCAGATAAAAGTAGGTTGATGGTTTGCTGGGAAGGAGATAGGGTTGCCACCTCCAGGTTGGGAAATTCCTGGAGATTTGAGGGGTGCAGCCTGGAGAGGGTGGGGTTTGAGGAGGGGTGGGTCTTCAGACAGGTGCAATACCAGAAACTCCACCCTCCAAACCAGCCATTTCCTCCTGGGGAATCACTGTTGCCAATCTCCAGGTGAGGGCTGGTGATCACTCAGAATTTCAACTGCTCTCCAGATGGCAGAGATCAGTTCCCCTGGAGAAAATGGTGGGCTTTGTGTCATTATACCCTGTTGAGGTGGCCCTCCCATGATAGCCAATGTGACATAGCAGTTAGTGCTTCAGAGCAGGGTCTGCCAGACCCAGGTTCTTCCTGTGGAAGCTGATTAGGTGGTTTCAGACCACTCACAGACTTTCAGCCTAACCTACCTCACGGGGTTGTTGTGCAAATCAAAAGGGGGAGAGGAGAATGATGTGAGCTGCTTTGGTCCCCACCGAGGAGGACAAAGACTGTTCTTTTCCTAGGTAGAAGCTACGCGGGGGGATGGAAACCTGAAGTCAGAGGGGCAGATAACGGTACATTGATGGTTGTCTGGGAAGGAGACAGGGATGCCACCTCCAGGTTGGAAATTCCTGGAGATTTGAGGGATGGAGCCTGGAGAGGGTGGGGTTTGAGGAGGGGTGGGTCCTCAGACAGGTACAATGCCAGAGACTCCATCCTCCAAACCAGCCAGTTCCTCCTGGGGAACTACTGATGCCAATCTCCAGGTGAGGGCTGGTGATCACTCAGAATTACAACTGCTCTCCAGATGGCAGAAATCAGTTCCCCTGAAGAAAACAGTAAGCTCTGTGTCATTATACCCTGCTGAGGTCTCCATAGCAAATTGATGCTGAGGGCCCAAGGCCAGGGCACTTGCCCAGAGCCTCTTGCTAGATCCTGTATTTATTTATTTCCACAACGGGCCTTATTCCTAGTGCTGAAATAAAATGCATGCTTTACGTACATAATGGGTGAAGGTGTGCATAAGGAAAATTGGGATTGGCTGTGAGGGATATGATAATTCTGCTTGATTTGGACAGGTGGAATGAATGAAATGTCTTGACCTTATAGCAGGGGATGGGTGTAGTGGCAGGGACAGAACGGTGAATATGAAGTCCTCAGTTCAAACGTCACCTCTGTCATGAGCATACTTTGGGAGTGACTATTTTCTCAGCTTCTGACCCCATGCTCATTCCACTATGTGGAGAGAAATCACTGTTACCTTAGAAGTTTGTTGTAAGGCTTATGCTTTGAGCACTTTAAAATACTACATAAACTTATTGATTTATGCATTCATAGGCATGTAGTCCCTTTCGTGAGCTTACTATTAAAGAATCCTTAACCTGTGTGGTATACGAAAACTGTGGAATGTTTTCCTTGTCCTGCCTCATGATGTCAAGATCAACAGCCATATTAGCTATGAGTTTGTTTACTGATACATCACTTTTATCCTTTTAGGTGTAGTAGAATATTTGAGCACTGGTGGAGTGGAAACAAACCATAAAGATTTTAAGGAACTGAGATACAATGAAAGTCTCACTAACTTCAGTTGTAATGGGAAAAATGGAACCACCAATGGAAGGATTACCCATGGTTTCAAGTTAAAGAGTGCCTATGAGAATGGCCTAATGCCTTATACAAATTACACATTTGATTTCAAGGTGAGAGTCTTTATAAGTAGGAACTTAATTTCGCTAATAATGTTAACAATGTTACTGTTACTACTTAAAACTCATTAACGTAGTGTGCAGTATCTTCTCAAGTCTTATAATCTATAAAATGAAAGGTGAGGATGGCATAGGATCAGTCTTTGGAAAAGCAGTGAGTCTTACAGGCTCTCTGAAGAGGGGGAATTGGGTTTATATTTAACAGTAGGGTGCTAAACAAAAAAGAACTATGCTCTCAATTGACCTATGGTTGAAGATGCCACAATGGTGAAAAGTGCCTGAACCCTCTACAGAAATTCCAAGAGACAGTATTGTCTCCCTTAGGAGATTAAAGGTCTTGTGTTCAGATTTCTGTAGCACAGCTGATGAAGGGCTGACCATTACTTCCACAGCTTGTTTTTTAAAGATATTTAAATATGGCTGTACTTAATACACCTTTCCCTCTTTCTTTCTTTTCCCAGGGTATTATTGACTACATCTTCTATTCTAAACCTCAGCTGAACATTCTTGGCATCTTGGGACCTTTGGATCATCATTGGTTAATAGAGAACAATATAAGTGGATGTCCACATCCACTCATCCCTTCTGACCACTTCTCACTTTTTGCACAACTGGAGCTGGTGCTGCCTTTCCTGTCCCCGGTAAACGGAATCCATCTGCCCAACAGGAGGTAGTCAAGTACATTTTAGAGGGCAACCTCAAACTTATTTGTAAAATTGTAAAATCTGAATATAGAGGAGTGAGGTATGGCCAACAGGGATCTTTCTTAATGATCTTAATTTTAAATCTAGTTATTTGATAAAGAAATAGTAAAAGCCAGGTGCTATCAGACACACAATTCTGAGCCCAACATGCTTTGTATACTGTTAGACAGGGATTGGTGCATTTGCGCCTTTCTTAGATTTGTTACAAGTAATCTTGTTTGTTCTATCCGATATAATATTTCATGCCTTGAAAATAGGGAATTACTATAATAAATTCTCTTTGCACAGATATCTGTAGCACTACTTTTTTGAGGCCAGTAGTAAACATCAAAAGACCATTCTTCCATACTTCACTCCCTTCTTTTTCAGACTTGTTTGTTTGTAAAATATAGAATTTGAATTTAGCCTTTATTGATTGTATATGAACAACAGAAAACCTGATTTATGAGATTTTGTACTTTAAAAAAATCAGATTTGGAAAATGATTGTATTGTAAACTAAGGCTAAATTTTTATCTGTTTCATGTGTTATAAAGGCCAGCTTGTAAAAGAAGTTGCATCAGGCTTTCTCTGCTAATGATTTGCACTGTTAGGGTGTTTAGCCCTTATGTACTACTTCATTATTTTAAAATTGAGAACACTGCTTTTAAACCTAAATTGGTAAAACCACAGCATATTTCTTCAAGTTAGTTAGCATACTTTCCCCCTTTTTATTCTTTTTAACTTGAAGCAAAAGCATAAATTTGTTCTCAGAACAGATAAGCTAAGCAGTGACTGATTAGGCTTTTGTGGATTGATAGCCGTTATCCATGTGCATTCGAACACCACTTTTCTCTCGGAAGTGGAACTGCGGACCCTTGTGTACAGCTTCTTAATCTTTGTGTCATGTCATCCTTTCCCTGTATCCACTGTGCCTGCTTAATTTTGTTCTCAGTTAGCACTGCCTGTGCATGCAGAGAGAACCTGTGCACCCTCTTTTATTTTTTTAAATAATGTTAACATTTTGTGAAAATTTTATGAAGATACTTTTGTATAAGCTGTGGCATCTATTTTTTTTCCTTCGTGAAACATTGAATATCACTTTTTGAACATGTTCAGATTGTGGGTACACAAATTCTAATACCTGTGCACTGCTTCTTTCAGTGTCATTGCACAATGCTGTTTGTGTCCCCTCCCCACTAAATACCATCATGTGAATTATTTCAGTTTAAGTGTATTCCTCAGTCATTCCTCAGTCATCATTCCTTAAAGACAAAGTGTACCGTCTTCAGTTTATGAAGCAGTGTAACTAGAGATGCATTTTCAGCACAGGTTCCCTAGACAACACTTCAGATCAATCATTAAAGTGACCAAGTCCTGTTCTAAAGTGTCAAGCAAAAACTAAGGTTATAATGTACCCTTATAGTGCCATTAGTGTATGAAAGCCAAGTATATAAAAATCTGTCCTAAAAGGGAGATTCTACGTCATCTGTAGCAAACTACTTCCACTAAACCCATTTCATATTTTGAGAGAGAACTTGGTCAAACTGCTTTTGTTTCAACTGCAGGCAGAGGAACAAAAGCTCAGTCTTGAATTGAGAAATTCTGAATATAGTAAATTTTAAAAAAATAAAATGGATCTTAGTAATAATGATTGAAAATTTTATAAAAGAAGAAACTATCAGCACTTACAAGTGCATTACCATTTTGTTTTAAAAAGAGAACAAAAATTCTCCAGATGTTCATGTTAAGCAAAAAGTGTTTTAAAATTCCAGTAGGAGAAGTCCAGATCTTGAATCCTTGTCTGGGACCTGATTTTTCTTTTGTTACTTGTTTTTTAGTTGTGCAAACACCAAACATGTCCAGTTTATAATCAGTACATCGGAATGCTGGTAATAATTGATGTAGTAGATTCAATGCATAGTGTTGCTTTTTTCTGTTCTTGTTTTTTGGGTTTTTTGGGTTATTTTGTAAACGTGTGAATAAAAAGGTGTTTTACTCATGTTTCCTTAACAATGTGTTGATAATGTGCATCATGACAATTTTCAGTGGCAATGGAGCCAATTTAGCTTGTCATTACTCAGCAACCTATTTTTGTTTCCTGATGGTCTGGATGATTTAATAGTATGTCCAGAAAGCTTTATGGAAGGGAAGCACTTATTCATTTTGTATTTCTTAGAAGGGGTTAATTTTTTTCATTTTTAAGCTGGAGCTTGAGTGCACTTGGTAAATCCTAAAGGTTTAAGCTTTACACATGTTTTCACCTATACAAATTTATGGCAGCATATTAAAAAGGTTATGGCTCATTCATGTGCTCAAGGACCCTGTTCTTGGATGGACATGTTGCAATCTATGGGCAGCTCACTTTTGGGATAAGATTTTTGATATATGAGAGCTCAGAAAGCTGATAGAGTCCCTTTAACTTTTGTGGTTCTTCTGTCAGATCTTACAGCAATGAGTTGAAACTCGCTCTGAGGAAATACTTTTGCATCTTTGCAAAATGATGCAAGTTGCACCAAACGTGTCTGATAGATCAATATCAAAGTCTACTAGGTTTTTTTAAAAAAACAACAACAAACATTTCCTGCTTGAAACCAATTCAGACATTTCATAAACAAATGCAATAAACTATCTTCATAAAATGATAAATTCCAGTAACCCTATCACTTTATTTACTGAAGGTGGCTTTGGATGTTGCCATAATATATGTTCAGTGTTTCTTATTAATGTAATGTCATGATTTTTTTAAAAAGAGCATTTGCTGGGCATGAGGTTCCCTTCCCATTCTTGACAGTTTACTCAAACTAGGTATCTAAGGATGATCATATGGTGAAAACCCTTGGAACTACGGTCTGCCATATTTCTAGTGGCTAATTCTCATGCATAGATATACATGTGCATAAATTCAATTACAGTGGAACAAACGGGAAATAAGTATAAAACATTAGGGATTCTGAATTTTTAAGATAATAGCAGAGAAAAATCTCTAGGAAATGTGTGTAATTATTTTGTCACTTATCTGTGGGTTTTAAAAACTAAGCAAATCTCAGCTGTAAACTTATTCATTCATGATGCAGACCTGCATCTCCGTGCAACCTCTGATAAATAAGACTATATGAATTCTGTGGCTTAAATGTAGAATAGCAGGTTCAAACATAAAGTTCTCACTTTATCCATGGGACAAAGAACTCAGACAAAATAATTGCACTATCATTTTCAAAGGAATTAATCGCACTGCAAATGTTGCAACTTCTCCAAATTACTGCTTACGTAGTGAGTCTTTTTTTTTTTTCTTTCTCCAACCAGCCTGACACAGTATTTTAGGGTATGTTAACTCCTGCTATACTTTTTTGGTTGTGTAAGCTTTTTTAAAATGTAGGTATCTTGGTATGTTTAAGTAGTGTCTAAAATTTAGAATACCTAGTCTTTATTCACAGTACTTCTGTATAACGTGTAATGCACTGGACTAACTCTTGTTTACCATATGTGTAACACAAAAAAAAACCAGCACATCATCTGCACTAAGCTCAAAGAATGTTGCATTTGTCTATAGGCAGCTCTTCAATACGATAAATGGGAAATTGAATATAGTCTGATGGTAAACAAGGGCTTTTACTGTTCTCTTCAGTGGAACTTTCTTCTTGGTCAAATTTTAACTAGCTAGTATTATATTTATATACAGGGTTGTCTTTTTCTTTACCAATGTATTTTCCTACTCATTGCTGACCAATAAATTCAATATCTGTTTCAAATCTCTTTGAAGTCTAATTTTCATGTTTAAGCTTTGTTTGTAAGCTCACTTAAACAATAAATAGGGCTGTCTCTTGATTTTTTTTCCTTATGTCAAATTTTTATTGTCTCCCCCAAAGGAAGAGTTGGTTCCAACCAGCTTCCCCCCTCCCCCGATGAAGAGGGGAGGACAGGGGATATCTTTGACTACCCAAAAAGGTTATGCTGGGGATCATGTGACCTGTATGGACAAAAAGCCATGTGGGACAAGAGCTGTAGTAAGGAGGAGAATTGGGCAAGAGTGGGCGAAGAAGCTGGCTGGATCCAACCTCATGTTTCCTACATTTGTGCTGTAACTGCAAAGGTTGCAGACGCAAAGCTGCACATTTCCTAGAGTATTTATGAACTAGAATGATGATCTGCCTACTTGGTTGCCATCTAGGCTTTACTGTATTTCTCTCCAACCAGGAATTACTTTCTCAGGATCTAGGCTGAATTCAAATGGTGAGCTGAAGTAGGTTATGGGTGGTCAGTAATCAGGCAATAGCAGACCTGGAACTAATGAATATGTTGCTACTGGGGGCATAGCTACTGGAAAGTAACTGTCATACAAAACCTTGGCATTTGTGATAATTAAGACTGGACCATTTAGGCTTCTACAAAGCTGAGTTTTGAGTTCAATGGTCTGGCCCATGCTTTTCTTTTAAGAAGCATGAGATTAGTGCATATCTGGTGCATATTTATTTTTAATGCCTAAAACACTTCCCATTGTTTATGGTTTCCAAGATTTTCAGTACATTATCCTTTCCAGTGTATATAATTCCAGATTTCAGCACAGGCTGTATAGCTATAGCTAATTGTTGTCTCCTTCCCTGCATTCTCCTGTGTGAGAGATGAGGGGAACAGTGAGAGGTGGATAAGTATTAAATTTCCTACTCTCAAATCTGGGACGGGATGGCTCCTAAAGTCTAAGCAAAGTCATGCTCACAGAAGTGAAATTCCCCATATTCTCCCCCTTCTTTTCTGCTGTAATGTGCTGTGTTCCTCAGAATTATGCCCTAGTTATCTGTGAACCTCTGGAAACAGCATAGAAGA